CCTTCCCCCCCCCCCAAATCCCCCCCGGACCCTCCCTCCCTTTCCTGTTCCTCCCCACTTTTCCCCAATTTCCCTCCCATTTCCCCCAAATTTCCTCCTCTGCGCCCCTCCCCAACACGGGGTTGCCCCAGGCCCCCCCCGGGATGGGGACCCCCTCCCCAAATGTCACCTGGATGTCGCTGAGCTCCTGCAGGAACCTCCGGGCCACTTTGGGGCCGTTCTCCATGGTGGGCACCGGGTGCAGCTTTTGGGGCCAGGGGGACACAGAGTGGGGGTCACCGAGACGCCAAAACGTTCCCCCTGGGACCCCCAAATTCCCCCCCAAATTCCATCCGGGCCCCCAGAACCACCCCCCCCAGGACCCCACAACCCCCCTCCCCAAACCCCTCCAACACCCCAAAACCTCCCCAAAAACCTTCACAGGACCCCCCAAAAATTCCCCCAAGCCCCACAACTCCCCAAGCCCCCCAGAACCCCTCCCCCCAGACCCTGGGGACCCCCCCGGACCCCCAAACCTTGTCCTGGTACAGGATCTCCCCCACGGGAGAGACGACGCAGGCGGTGCCGGCCCCAAACATCTCCCGCAGCCGCCCCCCCCGCAGCGCCCCCAAAACGCTGTCCATGGGCAGGGGGGCCTCGCGCACCTCGAACTCACCCTGGGGGGGCACATTTGGGGGCGTCGGGGGCAGTCCCGATGTCCCCCTGTCCCCACCACCCCCCAGACTTCACCAATGGCCATGGATCCGACTTAGAGACCCCCCCCAAACCGCCCCAAATCCTCCCCAAACTGTTCCCAAATCCACTCTGGACCCGCCAAAAATCCCCCAAATACTCTCTAGACCCCCATAGAATTTCCTGAATCTCTCCCAAATCCTTTCTAATACCCCCCGACCCCCAAAATCCTCCCCAGACCTCCTGAAACCCTCCCCAAATCCTCGCTGGAGCCCCCCAAACCCCCCAAGTACCCCCAAATCCTCCGTACCCACTGCCGGGCCAGCTCCAGGAAGCTCTGCCGGGTCACCCCGGGCAGGATCAGCCCGTCCAGGGGGGGGGTCACCAGCTCCACCCCTGGCGGAGACAGGGTCGGTCACCCCCTGACCCTCGCCCGGGACCCCCAGACCAGTCCAGAACCCCCCGCACCCTTAAAACTCCCCTGAACCCCGTGCCCAGGACCTCCCAATCCCGCCAGCACCCCCCCAAAACCCTTCAATCCCACCCTGGCATCTCCTGACCCTTCCCAAATCCCCTCGGGACCCCCCAAAACCCTGGGGAAGGCTTGGTCACCTCCCGTCCCCATCGCGTCCCAGCCCCTCCCGACACCCCGAACCCCCCCGGGACCCCCCCGGGACCCCCCCCGGACCCCCCCGGGACCCCCCGTACCCCCGTCCGGGCGCTCCCAGAAGACGAAGAGGTTCATGGTGCCCACCTCGGTCAGGTGGCACTCGGGGCCGTAGAGCCACAGCACCTGGTGACACCCGCGGGCCCACGCCTCCTCCTGCAGCTCCAGGCATGGCCCGTAATTCCTGCGGGGGGTGGGTGGGTGCAGCTTGGGGCACCCCCAAAATACCCAAACACACCCCCTCAGGAAACCCCACAACCCCCGCGGATCCCCCCAGGAAAATCTGCAAAAACACCAAGGGTGGGACTGCCCCAGGACCCCTCAAATCTTCCCCAAACCCTCCCAAATCCCACCCAGCTGTCACTCCCTGGAGTGGTCACTCCCCGGTGGTCACTCCCCGGTGGTCACTCCCCAGTGGTCACTCCCCAGTGGTCACCCCCCGGTGGTCACTCCCCAGGGATCACTCCCCAGTGGTCACTCCCCAGTGGTCACTCCCCAGCGGTCACTCCCCGGGGGTCACTCCCCAGTGGTCACTCCCCAGCGGTCACTCCCCGGCGGTCACTCCCCGGTGGTCACTCCCCGGTGGTCACTCCCCAGTGGTCACTCCCCAGTGGTCACTCCCCAGTGGTCACTCCCCGGTGGTCACTCCCCAGTGGTCACTCCCCGGTGGTCACTCCCCAGCGGTCACTCCCCAGTGGTCACTCCCCAGCGGTCACTCCCCAGCGGTCACTCCCCAGTGGTCACTCCCCAGCGGTCACCCCCCGGTGGTCACTCACCCTCCCAGTTTGCAGTGTCCGGCGCCCCCCGGCCAGGCCCGCACGTGCCGGGGGTCAGCCAGGAGCCGGATGGGGGTGAAGGCCCCCCCCGGGAAATAGGGACCCACCGGGCACAGCACCACGAACAGCAGCGCCCGCCCGGGGGGCGCGACCCCCAGCGTGGGCTGCGAGGGGGGCAACGGCTCAGGGACCCCGCTCCGGAACCCCCAAATCCCCCAGGACCCTCCAAGCCCCCTCCCAGGACCCCAAGAATCTTCTCAAAACCCCCCCCAAACCCCTCCACGACCCTTTAGATCCCCCCCCAAACCCCAAATAAACCCCCCACGATACCCCAAATCCTCCCTGGAACCTCTCCCCCGACCCTCCAGCACCCCCCAAATCCCACCGGAGCCCCCAGTAACCTCCCCAAACCCCCTCCAGCCCTCCCCAAACCCCCTCCAACCCTCCCCAAACCCCCCCAGGACCCGCAGCCCCCCGCCCACCTCGGTGCCGATGAAGGTGGGTCGGATGTAGAGGCTGCTCTGGGGGTCCCGGGGCACCCAGCGCCCCTCGAGCCGCACCAGCGCCCGGATGCACTCCAGCAGCTCCCGCCCGTCGAAGTCCTGCGGGAACGGGGACTGGGAGCACTGGAAGCACTGGGAGCACTGGGAGCGCTGGGAGGGAGTTGGGCGGGGGCACCGGGAGGGGTTGGGAGGAAAAAACCCCGCACTTTTCAGGCGAAAACCAGCACTTTTTGGGAAAAAATTGGCACCGGGAGGGACTGGGATGGGGTCTTTTATTTTGGAGGATTTTGGGGGAGTCTCAGGGGTGTTAAAGTGGTTTTGGGGTAATTTGGTGGGGGATTTGGGGCATCTCAGGGCTTTTCGACGGTTTTTTGAGGGTGTTTTGGGGTTATTTTGGGATTTTTTTTGGGAGGAGACATCCCGCTCAATGGGCAGGGAGACCCCCAGGGGAGGATTTTTGGGGTTATTCTGGGGGAGTTAAGGGGTAATTTTGGGGGTTATTTTGGGAGTTATTTGGGGCGGGCTTGGGGTTATTTTGGGATCATTTTGGTGGTAATTTTGAGGGGGTTTTGGGGTTATTTTGGGATTTTTCGGGGGGACACCCCACTCACGGGCAGGCAGACCCTGCGGGCTGATCTCTGCATCCTCTCCATGTTCAGGTCGGGGCGGAAAAGTCGAATTTTGTCGTCATCACCCCGAAAAGCCTTGAGCCCCTCAAAGAGCTGCAGAGAGGGGAGTCCCGGGGGTTTGGGGAGGATTTTGAGGGGTCCCGGGAGGTTTAGGAGGGATTTGGGGTGCTTTAGGGGGGTACCAGGGGGTTTTCAGAGGGTCCCAGGAGTCCTGGACTGATTTGAGGGGGTCCCAAGGGGGTTTTAGGGTGATTTTTGGGCTCCCAGGGGTGTTTTTGGGGTCCCACTGGCCTCCATGGCATGGTGCAGGGTTTGGGGTAATTTGGGGTGATTTTTGGAGTGATTCTGGGATGACTTTAGAGTGTTTTTGGCTCCCCTGACCTCCGTGGCAAAGTGCCAGGGTTGGGGTTATTTTGGGTGATTTTTGGGGTGATCCCAGGGTGCTTTTTGCTCCCCCGATTTCCACGGCATGGTCCCATGTTTGGGGTGATTTTTGGGGCTATCCTGAGGTGTTTTTGGCTCCCCTGACCTCCACAGCATAGGGCCATGTTTGGGGTGATTTGGGGTAATTTTAGGGTGATTTTTGGGGTGTTTTCAGGGTGTTTTTGTCTCCCCTGACCTCCACGGCGTAGTGCAGGGCGGACGAGGCCGGGTGCAGCCGCAGCTCCTGGAAGGGGCGGATTTTGGGGCGCCCCCAGCCCCGGTCCCGGCTCCACTCCACCATCAGCATGTGGTCGGTGAAAACCTTCCCGAACACCAGCTCCTGGGGGGCCGGGGGGGTGCCGGGGGCCCCCGAGCGCTCCAGCTCCAGCTCCGAGGCCTGGCGAGGGCTTGGCGTCATTTGGGGGTGCCCGGCGGGATTTGGGGGCTGGATCTGGGGGGTTTTGGGGCGCTTTTGGGGGTCCCGGCCCCCCGCTCACCCGGAAGGTGCTGTTGTAGCCACGCCGGGGCCGCAGCAGCGTCGCCAGGACCTGGGGGGGACACGAGTGCCCATTTGACCCCAGTTTGGCCCCATTTGACGCCAGTTTGGCCCATTTTACCCCAGTTTGGCCCCATTTGACCCCAGTTTGGCCCCATTTTACCCCAGTTTGGCCCCATTTGACCGCAGTTTGACCCCATTTTATCCCAGTTTGGCCCCATTTTACCCCAGTTTGGCCCCATTTGACCGCAGTTTGACCCCATTTTATCCCAGTTTGGCCCCATTTGACCCCAGTTTGACCCCATTTGACCCCAGTTTGTCCCATTTCACCCCAGTTTGGCCCCATTTGACCCCAGTTTGGCCCATTTTATCCCAGCTTAACCAGTTTTACCCAGTTTGGCCCATTTGACCCCAGTTTGGCCCCACTTTACCCCAGTTTGGCCCATTTTACCCCAGTTTGACAGGTTCTACCCCAGTTTGACCCCATTTTACCCCAGTTTGACCCCAGTTTGCCCCGTTTTACCCCAGTTTGGCCGGTTTTACCCCAGTTTAACCAGTTTTACCCCAGTTTGCCGGCTGAGGGGAAGGCGGGGCAATGGGGGAAGGTTCCAGGCCCTGCCCCTCTCCCGCCCCCCCCGGCCGGACTTTGAACCCCCCCGGCGCCATCGCGGGAGACGCGCGGGACTGGGAGCACTGGGAGCGACTGGGAATGGACCGGGGGCACTGGGAGGGTCTGGGGGGGAGCTGGGAGGGAATGGGGGGCACTGGGAGGGAATGGGGGGCGCTGGGAGGGATTGGGGGGCGCTGGGAGGGATTGGGGGGCACTGGGATGAGGACTGGGAGGAACTGGTGGGGCACTGGGAGGAACTGGGAAGGCACTGGGAGGACTGTGAGGAATTGGGGGGAACTGGGACAGTCACTGGGAGGGGCTGGGGGGCACTGGGAGACACTGGGAGCACTGGCACAGGAACTGCGAGTGACTAGGGTGGTCACTGGGAGGGGTTGGGGGGTACTGGGAGGCACTGGGAGGCGCTGGGACAGGCACCGGGAGGACTCTGGGAGCACTGGGGCGAGCTCCAGTAGAGCCCGAGTGGAACTGGGAAGGTGCAGGGAGGGGCTGGGGGGCACTGGGAGGCACTGGGGGCACTGGGACAGGCACTGGGAGGCACTGGGAGGACGCTGGGAGCACTGGGGTGAACTCCAGCAGAGCCCGAGTGGAACTGGGCAGGTCCAGGGGGGATCTGGGAATCCTGGGTGGGGCTCCAGTAGGGCCTGGGAGGGGACTGGGAGCACTGGGAGCACCAAGAGGACACTGGGAGGAGTTACTGGAAGCACTGGGAGGGGTCAGTGGTGTCCCTGTGAGGTGGCACCGGTGGCACTGGGAGCCCCGAGGGGTCACTGGGGACACTGGGAGGGGGCAGTGGTGGCACCGGGAGGGGTCACCGGGAGCCCTGGGAGGGATCACTGGCGGAACTGGTTCCCCACCCCTCTCACCGCTCCGCCGCCCCGGGACCGCAGCGCCGCCGCCGCCATCGCTCCAGGCCCCGCCCCTCCCGCTCTCCGCCAATGGTAGTGTGCCCTCCCGTGCCGCCCGCCGCCGCTCGGCCAATAGAAACGCGCCGCCGTGTCCCGCCCACACTTTCGACCAATAGGAATGCGGCGATCCACCCCGCCCCCGCCCGCAGCCAATCGCCGCGCGCCGGGCCGCGAGCGAGCCCCGTCCCCCAAAAGTCACGCCCCCAAGCCGCCGCTCATTTGCATACTGGTCACGCCTCCTCGCTGCTTCTGACCAATGGGATGACGGCGCCGCGCCGAGGGGGCGGGGCCCCAGCACGTGTGGGGAGGAAGCCGCGCCCCCGCCGCCGTCTCATGAATGAAACTCCCCGGAGGGGATCCCGGGACCCCCGAAACCCCCAAAATCCCCGAAATCCGGGAGCCCCGAAATCCCCCCAAAATTCCGGAAATCCAGAGGCTCCCGGGACCCCCAAATCCCCCCAAAATCCCCGAAATTCCCCGACCCCCCGAGCCCCGGACCCCCCAAATCCCCCGCGTCCTCTCGAGGGGTCTCAGGGGCAGCTCCCCCCCCTCCCCTTTCGGAGGGCCTCCCACCCCTCCCCCACCCGCGCGTGGGAGGGGGGAGGGGCGCGGGGAGCTTCCCACGCGTGGGGGTGGGGCGGGCGCGGCCCCGTTCGTGCCCCGGCAGGTTCGGGCACGGATCCAGATCGGGACCGGCACCGGGAGATGGATCGGGAGAGGGAACCGGAGCCGTGTCCCGCCCCGGAGGCCCCCAAAGCCCAGCCCGGGCCGCCCCCCGGCCCCACCCGCTGGGGCATCTGCTCGGCCGGGGCCATCAGCCACGACTTCGCGGTGGCCCTGAAGACCCTGCCCCCCACGGAACACACGGTGACACCGCGGGGCCCTTGGAGGAGGGAGGGGACCCCCCCCAAATTCCTGGAACCCCCCCCCCCCAAAATCCCTGAGAGCCCCCCAGAACCTGGGTGCGACCCCAAAAAACCTGTGCGTGTCCCTCCGTTGCGTAATCCCATTGCCTGGGTAGGCCTGATGTCCCAGACCTTGGGATTCCCCTTCAACCCCGGAAATCCGGGGCACTTTTGGGGTGACCCCAGGATTTTGGGGTCTCCACGACCCCTGGCTGTCCCCTCCGCAGGTGGTGGCCGTGGCCGCCCGGGATTTGGGGCGCGCCCAGGCCTTTGCCCGGCGTTTTGGGGTGCCCCGAGCCTACGGATCCTACGAGGAGCTGGCTGAGGATCCTGACGTTGGTGAGACCCTGCAAGGGTTTGGGGGATCCTACAGGGGTTTGGGATGTCCTGAAGGACTTCTGGAGGTGTTTGTGGGGGCCTCCTGGATATTTTTATTGCTCCCTGATGTGTTTTTTTTGGGACCAGGGGTGGTTTGGGGTTTTCTGATGGTTTTTTTTTGGGATTGGGGTACTTTTGCGATGTCCCCTTCAGACGTTATGTATGCGGGGGAGACAAACGGTGGGGCACTTCGAGGTCAGAGGGGTTTTTTTTTGTTTTCTGGGGGGATTTTGGTTTTTGTTTTGGGGTCAGGTTTGTTTTGGGAGTGCTCTGAGGCGGTTTGTGGGGTGTCCCCACAGACGTGGTGTACGTGGGGGTGGTGAACCCCGCGCACCTGCCCACGGGGCTGCTGTTCCTGCGCCACGGCCGGGCTGTGCTAATGGAGAAGCCGATGGCGCTCGGGGCCCGCGAGGTTGCGGAGCTGGTGCGGACGGCCCGGGAGCGTGGGGTGTTCCTGATGGAGGTGCGGCCCCAGCCGGGACCCCCCTCCCCAGGATCCCATTCCCCGTCATCCCAGTGACCCCGGTGCCCCCATTTCCGCTACTCCCCGTCCTCCCAGGCCCTTTCCCCCTATTCCCATCCCTCCCAGTACCCCCAGTCTTTCCCATTTTCCCATTCTCACGACTCCCAGGCTCCCGCTCTCCCCATTCCCAGCCATCCCAGCCCCCCCAGTCCCCCATTCCCAGTACGCCCAGTTCACCATTCCCAGTGTTTTCAGCCCCCTGGTACCGCGGACATCCCATTCCCAGCTCCCCATTCACAGTACCCCATTCCCAGTACCCCAATGCCCCATTCCCAGTGCTCCCAGTGCCCCAATGCTCCATTCCCAGTGCTCCCAGTGCCCCCAGTACCCCATCCCCTCTCCCCGCAGGGGTTCTGGACCCGCTTTTTCCCGGCCTGGCGGCGGCTGCGCTCACTCGCGGCCGGGGGGGCCCTGGGGACGCCCCTGGTGCTGCGGGGGGAGCTCGGCTTCCAGCTCGGGGGGGTCCCACGGCGGCGCGAGCCGGGGCTGGGCGGGGGGGTCCTGCTGGACCTGGGGGGCTACGGACTGCAGATGGCACTGGCCCTGCTGGGGGGGGGCAAGCCCCCCACCGCCCTGAGGGCCCACGGCGTGCTGCACCCCACCGGTACGGACTGGGGGCACTGGGAATGGGGGACTGGGGGGGACTGGGAGGGATTGGACAGGGATTGGGGGCACTGGGAGGGGATTGAGGGTTACTGATAGGGATTGGGGGGCACTGGGAGGGGATTGGGCGGGGAATGGGGGGACTGGGAGGGATTGGGGAGGCTGAGGGGCACTGGGAGGGGATTGGGTGGCACTGGGGGGGGATTGGGGGGCACTGGGTGGAGATTGGGGGCACTGGGGGAGACTGGACGGGCACTGGGGGGGGATTGAGGTCACTCCCCATTTTCCCACTTTCCTTCCCCTTTTGTCTCGTTTGCCTCCGTTTTATTCCCACTTTTCCCCCCCCCCATTTTTCCTTGTCCCACTCCCCCCCCGCGCTTTTCCGAGTTTGTCCCGCCGTTCTTCTCCCGTTTTCCCAGGCGTGGACGAGTCGGTGGCGGTGACGCTGGAGTTCCCCGGGCGGGCCCTGGCCGTGCTCACCTTCTCCATGGCCGCGGAGCTGCCGGGGGCGGCGGCGCTGGGGGGGCCGCGGGGCTGGGCTCAGGTGACCCGAAAAACCGGGCTCGACCCCGAAAACTGGGGGGCGGGAGGAACCAAACGCTGCCACGGGGTTAAAAATCCCGGATTTGGGGAGTTTTAGATAGAAAAACTCGATTTTAGGGAGGGACCGTGGGAGTTGGGGTTTTCTTTGAGTTGTTTTTGGTTTGGCGCTTTTCAGGTTTTTTTTGTTTTGTTTTGGGGTTAATTTTAGAATTTTTGTTTTTTTGGGGGAGTGGGTGTTTTTGAGGGTTTGGGGGCTGTTTTGAGTTTTTCAGGATTCTGTTCCATTTGTGTCAGGGTTTGGGGTTTCTTTGGGGTGATTTGGGGTTTTTTGTTTGTTTTGGGGAGGGCTTTTTCCTGGCTTGTACTCTGGGGTTTGGCTTTTGGGGCCAAGGCGTCCCTGACGCCCCCTCTGCCCCCCACAGCTCCCCAGCCACATGAACTGCCCCACCGAGCTGCTCTGGGGGGGTCACCGCGAGCACTTCCCGCTGCCCCCCCCGGCCGAGCCCCTCAACTTCCCCCACAGCACCGGGCTGCGCTACGAGGCCCAGCACGTGCGGGAGTGCCTGCTGCAGGGTGAGGTCTGGGGAGAAATCCCCAGGGTTTGGGACGTCCTCCACCTCTGGGGGGTGTTGGGGGGCTGCTGACCCCCCTGGTAAACCCCCAGGACTGACCGAGAGCCCGGAGATGCCGCTGGCCGAGAGCGAGGTCATCGCACGACTGCTGGACGAGGCACGGGCACAGGTGGGGGGGTGGGACCCTCAGAATGACCACTGACCCTCCTGAGTGACCCCTGACCCCTCAGGGTAACTGCGGCAGCTTTGGTCTCACCCACCTGTGGCTCAATAAAAGCTGGAAAACCACTCCAAAACCTGACCCTGGTCATTCCCAGGTGACCCCAGTAAGACCCAGACGCTCCCAGTTTGTCCCAGTTTGTTCCATTTGGGTTTATTACAGCAGGAGCCCGTGCTGCCGAAGCACCGCCGTGAACGGCGCCGCCTTCTTCTCCGCGTTGCGCTCGGCCCGGCGCCGCAGGCTCTGGGAACGGGGAGAGGAAAACCAGCGCAAAACAAAAAACAGAAAAAAGAAAAAAAAAAGAAACAAAAAAATCAGGGATTGAGTGGTCCCCAATTTCCCCCCACACATTGAATTCCCGTGGGAGTTGGGGTCTCACCCCCTGGGTTGGGGCTCTAACCTGGTTTTAGAGCTTTCCCAACCAGTGTTTCCTCCCTGTGAGTTTCTTGGAGAGTCCCACACCCAAATCCTGGGGTTTTCCCTGCCTGGCTCCAGACCCTCCCCTTTTTTGTTGTCCTTTCCCCCGTCCCACGCCATGCCAAGGGATTTTGGGATGTTTTCCCCGTTTTTCTCACCATCATCTTCCTCTTCTTGTTGTACCGAAGCTTCGCCTTCTCCTTCCTTTTCTCCTCCAGTGCTTCCGTCACATCCCGGTACTTCCAGCCCACCTCATGCGCCAGCCGGCCCAGTACGGCAAACTGGGGGGGCACTGGAAGATCAGGGGGGCCCCAAAACCCCATAAAACCCTCCCAAATCCCCATAAACCCCCAAAATTTCATAAAACCGCCCAGAATCCTGTAGAATACCAGACTTTCCCCAAATACCCCTAGAACTCCGGTCAATCCCATAACACTCATTAAAAAACGCCCCAAACTCTCACAAAACACCCCTAAAATCCCATAAACCCCCCCCCCCCAAGTTCCATAAAAGCCCCCCCAAGCTCACCTTGCGCGTGGGTTTGAGCCGGATGATTTTGAGGGCAGCTGGCACCACCATCCGCTTCCGCTGAAAAATTTGGGAATTTTGGGGTCTTCTGGGGTCCCTCAGGGGGTTTTGGGGTGGGTTTATGGGGCTCCAGGTGTCTCAGGGCTTGAGGTTTTTCTCAGAAGTAGTCAAACAATGTAGGTAAAAGTAACATCATAGACACCAGGCTTTAGGGGCAGTTTGGGGAGTTCCAAGGGGGGGATCCTGAAGGGGGCATTAGGAGGGGAATCTGGGAATTTCAGGGCTGAATTTTGGGGATCCCACCTTGTCGTAGGGCGGGGGGATCCCATCGAACACCTTGAGCCGCTCCAGGGCCGCCTGGCCCCGCTTGGTCTTGTGGGGCAGCATCCCTGGATTTGGGGTAAAAACCGAAGAATCAGGGGCAATTCCGGGGGTTTTTGGGGAAGGATCTGGCAGGGTCCTCGCTCACCTCGGACCGTGCGCCAGAAGATCCTGCTGGGGGCTCGGAAGTGAAACGGGCCCCGGGAGGGATTGGTGTTCATCCTCTTCCTCAGGAACGCCAGGAATTTCACTGGGGCAGGGGAAAAACGAGGCGAAATCGCTCAAAAACAGAGGTTCGGGAAATCTCGGGGGCTTTGCTGGGATGGGAAAAGGGGTTAAATCCCCCTAAAACCGGTCTAGGAAATTCACCGGCACGGTCAGGCAGAATAAATTCCCTAAATACGGGGTCTAGGAACTACCAGGAATAAGAAAATGGGTTAAATCCTCCCAAAACGGGTGTCCGGGGATACATGGAGAACCCGGGACGTTCTGGAAACTTCCCACAACTTCTCCGCGACCTGGAACCCTCCCCAAAAGCCGTGATTTCCCCCCAAACCCGGGGTCCCCCGGCTCACGTTTGTTGCGGTAGAAGTTCCCGGAGATGTTGATGCCCTCGCAGCGAACCACGACCACGCGGCGGCCTGGGGAAAGCGGGAGCCGGGCGGGTAAGGGCCAGGCCGAGAGCGGGCAGCTTCCCCCGCCTGCCGAGCCCCTGAACCCCCCGCGCTCAGCTGGTAGTGCATGGAGGCGGCTCTCATTGTCGCCAAACTCGACAGCCGAAAGGGCTCATCACTGCGTGGGGGGGCGCGCTTATCCCGGTGGATTCCCGGTGTTCTCCCGGCACACCCCGGGGAAGGGGCCCCGCACTCACCCAGCAGCACCTGCTTGGCCACGATCGCTGCCAGCCGGCCCAGGAGGTGCCCGCGGCCGTCGATCACCAGAACCTGCGGCACCGGGAGCACGGAGTGAGGCCTGTCCGCGGCCGGGCCCGACCGGGCTTATGCCGCACCGCGGGGCCTCCACGTGGCCGCACCCCGCGCCCCTCCCGCCGCCCACCCGCGGTTCCCCGCAGCCCCGCTACCGCTAAGCCCTTTCCCAGGGCCCTCCGGAGCCCACCCGGGACCCCCGAGCCCCCCCCGAGCGGCCCCCGGTCCCCCCGCGCCGCACCCGCGGCTCCGCCATGGCCGCCGCCCGCTCGCCAAAGAGGCCCCGCCCCCTGCGAGCCGCGGGGTCGCCCCTCCCGGCGGCGGGGCAACCGCAGGGGCGGAAGTGATGCAAGGACGCAAAGAGGCCGCCAAGCCTCTTCGGAGGAACCATCGAGAGCGGAAGTGGAGGGGAGTCCTGGCCCAGAAAAAATCCCCTCAGTGTCCCCCAGTGTGTCCAGAACCACCTCCGGTGCCCCCCAGCACCTCCCAGTGCCCTCCGGTATGGGTCCGAGCCATTCCCCGAGCTCCCAGTGCTCCGCCAGCAGCCCCTCCAGTGGCCCCCAATATGTATGCATGTATTTATGTATTTATAGATGCATTTATGTCTGTATGTATGTAGTACCGCCGCCAAGCTCTCCCGGTGCTCCCCCGTACCTCTCCCAGCCCCTCCCAGCGCCCCGAGTACAACGCTCCAGGCTCTCGAGCGGCCGCTCCTTGTATTTATATATGTACAGCGGAGGGGGAGGGCCCGGCTTTCGAGGGTCTTGGGGGCCATGGGAGGAGGGCGGCGGCTTCCCGGTGGGTCCCTGGGGGTCTTCGGGGGTCCCCTGGCGGGTCCCTTGGGGGGGGGGCGGTTGTTTGCAGCACATTCCAGCCGGCGTCCGGCGTCACCCATGGGGGGTCCCCGGGGCCGGGGTGGTGCCGGTGGCCCCGTAACTCGCGGGGGGTCCTCCCGGGGGTCCCCCCCCGCCGACT